TCTCTTCTTCTTCTAGCCTTGGTGGCTGATTAGTAAGGCTGCTATCTTCTCCACACCTTGTCCTTTGTGGGCTAAATACTTGGGAGCAACCGGTGGATGGGTTGGTGTCGGTTTGGAGGAGGTCGGTTTGTGTTGTGGTGTTGATTGGTTTATCTGAGCTCGGTTTTGTGGTGCAATTGGAGTCCAATATCCCGACAGAGGTAGGTAGCATACTTTTTTCTTTCTTCTGCTGCTGCTGCTGCTTCTTCTTCACTTCTTCTATGATTTACACTATTACTTTTTCGTTCTGCTCAGTTGTCCGATCAAAGATTTGTTCAATTTCGCAGCACTTTCACCATTTTGTTCCTCTTTCTGTTTGCTCAGGGGTGATTAAGTGATTTCCTCTCCTGCTTCACATTGGGTGATGATGTTTTTATGGGCCCATTCAAGTTGAAGCTCGAGGGTCGTAACGGCCCAAAATATGAACTGGGGAAAGCCCAAAGGAAGAATCTACAAAATACATTTATAATGTTTTGATTACAAGAAAATAAGTTTTAAGCACTGGAGAGGAGGTAGATGAGAGTGAGTAAAGTTCTTCAGTTTTTTGAAAGTGTGAAATGTATGGAAATTGTTTTACCTACCCCAAGGAAAATATTTTCCTTATTTTTGAGGAAAATATGGTCACGTAATCAATTTTTGAAAAATATTTTTCGTAAAAAAAAATGACAATTAAACACCCTAAAAGTTGAAACTTGGGTGAAGGCATTTTATATTAAAAAAAAAAAGTTAATCAAACTCGCCCTTATATGACTGAAGTTAAAGTTAAACTATGTCAAATGATTTTAAATTTTTGTTTTTTATGAACAAGATGGTGATTTGCATTTGCTTGTACCTATAATAAATTTTGTGTTTTGCAACTTAACCTTTACAAGACAGTATTGATTGACGAAGTTTATTTTTCCTCTTCTATTTGTATTTTAAGAGCAAGTAAATCGTATTGGGAACAAAATTAAAAGCAAACAAGAATTATTGAATATACTAGATTTAGTGCAAACTCATCAGACCCTTGCAAACATATAAATAAAAACTAGGGATCTTCCTTAAAAATGAGATGAGTCGATATCGATCGATGGTATGAAAACATTTTTTGATGTCGAATTCCAAAACATGGCAAGAGGTTCGTACTCTTCTTTGATCCGTTTTAGGACAGAGTGACAGTCTAGACCAGAGCTAAAATGCGATGCGTCTGAGAACTCGAGATGGTAAATAGACTTGAGGGTGATTACGATGGCCTCTTTCATAACCTTACATATAGGTGGGTGAAATTACCGTGAGTGGCGACAAAACGAAAATATACTGTGCCATCTGGACACTGGAGGTACAATCATACAAATTATACGAATTTGCTACATGGCGTTACCACATTCCTATTCTGTACTGGCAGTTACAAGCCCAGACTGAACGAACAATTCCATGAAATGACCAGTTTGCCCCTATAACTCCATAAAGACCACGTCAGTCCAGATTTTTTTTTTCCCCAATAAAATCATAATTAATCTTCCTAATTTGTAGTAACCGCTGATAGAATTTACTGGCAAAGCAAAAGAAAACGCAATCTCTGGTAATTGTTCGTTCCCGGCCGATTCTCTTTTACATTTTACTGTATGTGTAAAACAAAATTTGAGGCCAAAACAAACGTGAAAGATTATTCTTCCCCGAAACCAATTCGCGATTACTCGTTAAGCTTACTAATGGCAATGCGCTTAACTCCGGCGGACCTAACGCCGCCACAATCGATTTCTTCTTGGGATCATGACAGGTAATTTCGGATTTCCTTCCTGATAAATTCTTGCATAGCAGAAAGTAACTCCGCGCTAAACAACGTTGTTTCCTTTTCCGCTGCAGATACCGCCTTACCGCAGCTATCACTCTGCTGAATCTGCCGGCTTGATATAGAATCCTTGTCTTCAATCTTCACAGAAGATGACCCACTACCAGTACCAGGCAAAGATAGAGTCAACGCAGTCAAAAGATCATCAGCATTCTCATTATCGGCCGCCGGCGGAGGCGATTCCGCCGGAGGAGCCTTTATCTCATTTTTCATGAACGAAAAATAAAAGTTCATCTTCGCTGGAATATTATCAAACGATTCATTGACAACAGAACCACCAGGACTCGTCCTCTCAGGACTTAGTTTCAATTCATTCATCATTGCAGACGTAACATCGCCGCCATCTAGTTTCTTCGATACCTGCACAGGCCGCAGCTCTCCGCCTACCATAGCCGTGGCGCACTTTCGCTTCAGCGTCGAGTTCCAGTGATTCTTAATGGAGTTATCGGTTCGGCCATTAAGGAGCCTCGCTATAGATGCCCACTTGTTACCATACTTTGCGTGCGCCTTGAGAATGATCTCATCCTCCTCGGGCGTAAATGGCCGGTGCTCAACTTCCGGTGACAGCTGGTTGCACCATCGCAGCCTGCAAGACTTACCCGATCTCCCAGGAATCGATCTGCTTATCACGGACCAATTCCTAGCCCCATGCAGCTGCACCAGCTTCTGTAACTGCTCATCTTCTTCCGGACTCCATGGCCCCTTAATCCTATCGCCACCGTCATGAGACGCCATTAGTACATGTAAAAAAGACCTAACCCTAAAATAGATACATATTATAAATTTTATATGTATGGACTGATAGATGGGTCTTGAGGAAGATGAAGAGGGTGATATAAAGGGGGAAATTAGGGTAATCGAAACGGTTAAAGAAGTAAGGGGAGGAGCGTTACAGTTACCGGTTATAATAGGTAAGCGGTTAAGGGACAGCTGTCAGAGACACGCGTCGCCGCGTAAATGAATGGAGTTGGGAAAAAATCGCTGGAAATATCACGGTTGGGAGGGGACGCGTTACTTTGCCTATTTTGACTCGTGCCGTTATGGAAGTTGCTTTATTTTTTATTTTAAACTTAAAGGAGTGTTCTAGAATAGAGAAGTTTTTATTTGAAATTTTTTCCAAGAAAAGTACATATTTTGGGAAGTTATAAACAATTTTGGATTTAAACTCAAAAAAATAAAAAATAAAAAATTGAATAGCATAGTATAGTTGAATATTGAAGAGATTTGATATCACCAGTTTATCGTGACAAAACTATTAAATTTGTGTGTAATATTATTTTATTAAAAAATGTGTGATTAAAAAAAAATTTGAAAAAAAAAAGAAAGAATCAAACAAGGGTTTCATATGATGTAAATATAAATTAGTTAAGTATTTTGAAAGTAAGGGTGTGTTTGAGTTAGGGATGGATTTAGGGGCCCCCCCCAAAAAAAATATTTTAAATATTTTTAGCGCAATTTTTTTTTTTAAGTATTAGTCCGACCTGTAATTCGATCTTAAATCCGTCCCTGAATTGAACCACAATATTTTGAAAAACGTATTCTAAAATAATAGATTAATGGAGAATGTGTGGTTGAAAAAAATAAAAAGTTATTGATGTGATGAAAAATATTATTTTATTAAAAAATATATAGTTAAAAATGAGTAGAAGGTTGAGAATGAAAATTTTAATGCACAGGCTAAAAATAAAAATTTGGTGGCCATGCACTGGCGAAGAAAAGTTGAAATTGTTTTGGAGATAAGCACTAAGAAAGGACAGTTTGACCGTTGGAAGCCAATGATATTGTTTTGTGCAAGGCACGGAAGTGGCGAGGTGGACTAAACGACAAATTACAGTTGCAGATAAAGGACAGGTTGGCATTCTGACCCTAAGGACACATCATTCATATGGCAAATCATTATCTTGTTACGATGAATTGAATTGAATTAAATTAAAATTTAAAGGTGTATTTAGATGACAACACGTTGTAGTATTTAGATGAATTGTTACGATGAATTGAATTGAATTGAATTAAATTAAAATTTAAAGGTGTATTTAGATGACAACACGTTGTAGTATTTAGATGACAACAAATTACGTAACTTAATAATTTATATATACATGATGTGATGAAATATGATTGAATAACAAATTTCTTCAACCAAAAACTAAAAATAAAAAAAATCCACACACCTCATGTCTATATAAATCATTATGTACATGAAACACAACCATTATTCTTCTAGCCCTCGTTTGATGAAATTTATTTCATCCCTGTTTGGTATCGATTAAATATCAAATTTTAATTTAAATCAAAGTCAACAAACAATTTTAACCACATATTTCAAGAGTTCCACAACTTTTCAACCATATATTTCATCAACTTTTATTAAAATCTACTAAAAATCTGATTTTAATCCATATCAAATAAGGGCTTCAAAAAAAAAAAATTTTTTACTTATTTTCAACTATACATTCACACAATAAAATATTTTACATATAAACCAAAAACTTTTCCATATGTTTTAAGGATACGTTTTTCAAAAATTCAATATTCAAAATGTTATATTTTTATTTTATAATGAAATAAGAGAATCCCTAAAGAATTCTTATTGCTAGCAAAAAGGGTGATGCAAGGAAACTATCCACAAAAGAAAAAACATATAAATGCAAGATTAGTTGGAAGCACAGGCACTTGCTGACATTCATCAAATCATCCAGAAAAGCTGCATTCACCAAACTGGAAAACAATTATAAATTTAGCAGTCATACCATGTAATTAATCATCGTTTGAAATGCTAGTCCTTCAAGCAGAATCGTCAAAGTGGTTATGAATTTAATTTGAAATTAATCAGGGGTATGAAACATAAAAGCCTTTTTTCCACTCATATTTCCTCTTCCTCAAGGGGATCTCGTTCTGCAAAATCACCAGCCTGAGAAATATTCAAATCATTTCAATGATCAAAACTATTAAGAAGCCTACTAGCAACAAAATAAACACGATCAGTGTTCTAAAAAAGGGGGCAAGGCGACAAGGTTAAACTTCAAGCTTTTACGAGCATATATGCCTAGACAAAGTTTAGGCATAAAAAAAGGTCAAGTGTTGCTAGGCAGCAAGGCCAAGTTTCACGTCTCAGTGATGGTTAGGCCAGCATTTTAGAACAACGCATACAATAATAATCTTATGTGAATTAAAAGAAAAGGTCTCGGGGACATTCTTATACTAGATATAGATAGGGGACTTGAAGAGAGACGTGGCAAATGGAATAGAATAGAAAATCAGCTGCCAAATAATCTCAGTGCAATTCATTCAATCAATAAAGTCACAAAAAAATGGGATAAACATTTTTAGCATTGGAAAACCCGGCAAAAACATTTCCTATAGTCGATTTATGTATCTTTCATTTCTGAACACAGTTGTGTCAACTGTTGCAAAAACCCCTTCCCAGACAAGAACAGAAAATAAAAAATATAATAAAAAACAAGATAACAATAACTTTCCCTCCTAGAGAGCTAGACTCCAAGCTCCTCATCAATGTTCGAGTCCACCTCCATGAAACACCCACCTCAGTCTCTTTCATCCTTGGCAGCCTGTACCAGCCTACTTTTCCAATCCATCTCTCTTTGTTCAATCCAGTCTTTTTCTTAAATTTCATATATTTTAAATGTCTACCATTGATGAATAATTGAAGACTAGAAGGTATGTGCAATTATGCTTGTGTAGATGAAATAGGAATTGGATGCTTCACATTTATGATCTGCAGAAATGTAGTAGGTGGGTATTGAGCAGAAGATAGGCAGTTAAATTAGAGGGTTATCTAGACATAGGGCTGCCTCAGGCATAGATAAACCTAATTTAAAGAAGTCTCTTTTGTTCAGCAGAGCTCTGGTTCAAATGGTAACTGAGGTATATCCATTATCCGTTGTTTACGAATCCGTTTCAGTTGTACCCTTTCTTTTCTCTTTTTCAGTTGCGGTTCCGTGGAAAGAAGTTTCACTGGGAAGGTGGTATCTTCCAGGAGATCACTGAAGCTTGTAGTTTAAACAACTGACCTTTGCTTGAACTTAGCCCGAGTAAGGCTAACTTAAATTAGGATAACCGGGTGCCAAGCCTTTATATGAAAGTTGAAACCATGTCATCTCTGGAAAGCTTTCTAAGCTACAATTCCATGGTAATGCTTATTCATTTTGTACATTAATTTGAAAATTATGTCCAATCATAATTTGATTTCAGATTTCTTGAATCTGCACTGCAGTTCAGCTAATAGTTTCCCATTATATGGATATACAGTCGTCAATTTCCATATTTTATTAGATAAGCATGTCAGCATGTTCTAGCTACAAATGAGAAAATTTCGTTCTTTAACTAGCATTCATGTTCACCAAACTATTATCTACAATAAGATTTCAGATTTGGTTCTGCACATATTTATTTTTCATAAACGAACAGCCTCTAAATTGCAATATCTTTTAGTACAAACCTTCACTTTGTCTGGTCTGACCATTCCGCCATGAAGTGGAGGGCAATCAAAATATCGCTTTCCTTTCACCCTGCACAAGAAAGCTGTATACATTAAAGCTGCCCACGACTATTACGAACATTAGAAGTTGGAGGTCACATACGTGCCATCATGTTTTCCCAAAGGTTCATCATACTGAACTCCAACCCAAAAACCAGGTGCAAGAGTTTCTGCCTGCCCCACAAATTTGACGACCCCTCTCTTCTCCCCTGGTTCAACCTGACATCTATCCCCCACCTTTTTATTAAGGAAAAGAAAAATGTTATCGTTAATTATGAATATAAACAAACAAAAAGAGAAATTAATATTAATAAAATTTGAAACATAGTGGATGACTAGTTAAAAGGAAGGAATACATATCATTAGTAAAAAATAAAGAACTTGTTCTGGATTCGTAACAAAAAACATATTTTACAGGTCAGATTAAATAACATCAGAATTAACATCAATTATAATTCATAATGCCATGTCTAAGGAGTTGTTTAAGAAACCAGAAATGATTAAATAGTTTGCAGTTTATTTCTTGGTTAATGAATAGTAAGAGAAGGAATGGTCTTTAATGTGGAGTAGCCCTGCTCTTCTTAACAACTGCACCAAACTCTATGACCTATGATTCAAGATTGAGAAAAGCCCAAATAATTTAAAGCTTAAGGGTTTATGTTAGGTTCCTGATCTTTCTTACACACCCAAAATCAGAACACGGATGGGGAATCAACCAGCAGCAGCCAATAAACACGTTTCAGAAGTTATCGTAGAGGAAACTTATAATGTGATCGCCATAAAAATTGGTAAATTTCTTTACCAGATTCACAGTGTCCAGAATAGTTATAGTTGTACGCGTTCATATGATGGATTGCCGAAATGCTTTAGTAACATGAAGAGACAATGCTAAACCTAAAAGAAGAGTGGAATTTTGGGATATCCTAGAATCAATATCAGCCTTTGATTAGGATTCTCCTTGATCTACTCCTGATAATGCTTACGTTTTACAAGCAAGCACTAAATAGACTCCCAGGAAACAGGCATCTTTGAGAAAGCTCTATATGCACGTAATTTAGATAGAAAATGAGAATGAATTCAAGTTAACCAACCTTTATATTTGCACAAACATCCTGCATGAAGTTGTCCGAAATCTGTCCGTAGAAAAGAAAAGATACAAGTCAAGAAATGAAAACAGTCCTACAAAGAAGAAAACTTAAGGTGCTTAACTAGCAATAATTTTTGCTCATGTGTATAAGTTATATACTTCAAAAGAATGGAAAAATTAGCTATAACAATAACCTAGCCATATTCTAAACAAACATGGAGCAGGCTACATAAATCATTTTTGGACATTTTTATTGGCCATAGAACTAGGCCTGAAAGGTCAGCTCTGAAACGGAGAATTCTTGTTTTTTAAAAAAGAAGGGAGCTTGGAAAAGGTATCCGCATAACATTCCAGAGATATTGAAGAGATGTATACTTTAGACTCGTGATCAGATGGATGTTGATGTCCAAATTTTTCCTTGAACTTTCTGAAAGTACCTGAAACACAAATTATGCAATGAATTGTGGGTCAAATCAAGTTAATGTTCATCTAAGGTAAGAGCCTAGGCAAGAAAAATGCGTAAGACTTAATTACAAATACCAATTACAAATACCAACGAAAATTGAATTGACAGCTGCAAATTCGACCAACAATATGGCCTGAGTCACCTGACTAATAATAAAGGTGATAGATGGTATTAAACAAACCAAGCCTTGGCTCATAAAACCTATTCAGCTAGACATGGTGAAACTAATGCATTATTATGACCCAGAAATTCATCGCTATTTTCATGAAAGAAGTCGCTAGAACACTCTGATGCAAAAAATAATCTCAATCACGATCGTATCTTTATTTAAGCACAGGCAATGGTGGAAAGCAAAGATTATGACCACAGAGACTACCATCACGTTTCTCATATGCCTCTTCAGAAATTTTGTATTTCTCAACAAGTGACGTGTCTTCCAGCCAACCACCAGATGTTACAGATGATGGGTCCTGATCGATGACATGCAGCCGGAAACTACAAAAGGAGATATATTGTATCCAAATTAGTTAGAGAAAATTTAGTCTCGGATCAAGTTGTATGTAATCACGATAAAGGAAAGTGACAAAACTCCTTTTCATTTATATGCCACTATAACCAGAAAGCTTCAGATTTGCCGGTTATAAACAAATGAATATTATAACACAGACAAAAGGGGCAAGGGCAACAAAAACTTGAGAAGTTACACCAAGAACCTGCAGAAACATCTAAGAGACTATGACTATTTACCATGACCACCTTCTGTCAAAGTAATTATTGAATGAAAAATTATTGGAATTTAGTGGAGAGGAATCAAAATTAGAAAACCATATTAAGATGCTGACATTTATTTGCACATGTTCACCGAAAAGGGGAGGATTTAAAATGAAATGGACACTGAACTGACCCATCTTGCGGGGAATAAAAACCAAGGGCTCTCGTGTTATCCCCTACATCTGCAACTTTAGCGCCAGTATCATCATAAAGCTCGAGGAACATTGAATTGACAGAAGTACCACATTTCTTCCACAACTTTTCTTTCACAGCTTCTACTGTCATCTGACGAGAAAATCAAGATTATATATCTCAGATCCAGCACAAGTAAGCCAAGCAATTCTTGTTTCATGCCTCGAATGCTTTTAGCAGAATAATCACATGTAATCTAGACAATACATTAACAATATGTACATGCATATTTCTTAAGGCCTATATTACTTGAACTATTTGTTTACAATGTTGTACCTATGCCAGGCTTCATGCTTGACATGACACAAGATATGTGTCCAATGCTTAAAATCAGCGCAACTCTCTAAAACACCAGGCACAAGGTCCAAGCACTGAGCCACAACCACAGACTTTACTAACAAAAGTAACCAAATGTTCTTCTTTTGTGCCATTTTTGTCTTTTCCTTGTTGTCAAAGTTATATAAAACATATCTATATATTCTTAGGTAAGCTTACTGATTCTACAAATAATGTGCCCATGTACTCAGCTACCTATATCCAAATTCATCACTGATTTGTGAACATATCCTTTCGCGTGAAATGGACAGTTAACGTGTTTGGCACTTAGATTTACGGAGGTGACAATTTACTGGTACTACAAAGTCATTTTTCATGAATTGATTGATAGTTGCACAAAGTTAACTGAAGAAACACGTCAAAACACCATTTAAGTTAACTAGAAAAAGAAGTCTACCTGTAGAGAGAATCGAACGTCAGCTGAAAAACTTTTGATGTTAGAATGGGTGATACGTAGAAGAACCGATTCATCCCCCTGAATGTGTAGCCGAGAACCCATGTCTTTCCTTTTCTCTGTAGCAACACTGAATACTGTCTACAATAAAATACATTCTTAAAAATCAAATATCACCTCATATAGAATGCAAACTCAAAATTTAAACAAATGCTTCCCCAGCATTTTTCATTATCTCATAAACAGAAAAATCCCCCTATTTGTTAGATTGCAGTGTTGTAGTATAACTGATATATTTATATGCACAATTATGCAACCTGCACAATTTTGAGTAATCTGTATGCAACCAATCTGAACATGAAATTAAAATATTATGCTATAATGATTTCATACAATGCTAAACTGAATTGGCAAGTTGCGAACTGATTGGATAGAAAAAATTCAAACATTTTACCCTGGTTGACCCCATTCTCTAAAAACTCATTTTTACCCCCAAAATCATTTTTAACCACACACTTTTCCAATAAAAAAAATGCAGATAAACCTAAAATTTTTTCCTACTTTTTTACCGCACACACTCCAAAAAAAAATCACTATAGGCTCGAACACGCTCCATGTGTAACTGAGTAAAATTAATAATTTGACATGACCCGTCCCAAATCACCCTAGTAGACCAAAAACGTGACGTACATCGATGATGGATGTGGCTAGGAACCGGACCCACTGCTAAGGCCAACTTTAACTTTCTTTAAATATTACGAATTTAATAAAAAATTTGACAAAATTCCCCTCGGACTAGATCCATTTGAAAAGCAACATTTTTTTCCAAACATGTATTATCTGAAAGATACTAAGGACCATCTGTCCCTCTAACACATACTAACCAAAACTAAGTGTTAACCAACTCGTCCATTTCAATATAATTTACAATACAACCCAAAAGGATGTAAAACTACAAATATGTAGTGAGCCCATATATTTAAATACTTGAGACATTAACTAAATCAATTAAATCATACAATTTGATTATGTCACGTGGCTTAACTCGACATATGAACATGCTCAAATGCTGCTCAACTCAACTATCATGTGTCAAAAAATTGTTACAAAATATATGAGCTTGTAACTCAGTGGGTAGACAGTTCACAAATAATACTTTTCTCATTTATATACACTAAGTGAAAAATCTTATTTATTCTATTACAACTTTAAAAGATTCTAAAATCTGATAATCACTTTTTAAGACTAAAAATGATGGAATAATAAAAATCCTTTATTCTTTATTCTAAATAACAATTGTAAAGTATCTTAAATATAAGTAATCAGATATCAATGAAAATTTGAGTAAAAATGTCATTTTACATTGCTATAAGCTGAAATCTTTACTATGTAAACTGAATAAATTGAATTCTGTAATCTGAAATTTGATAAGTTGTGCCTAAAATAATAATGAAAAACCACACCAAAAGGTACCGATGCAGAGTTGTGCCTACAATAATTCAATGTACATAGCAAGGCTATTTATAATCTGATAATTTTGTAATTCTTAAACTTGGTCATACACGTGCAGAGTTGTTCAAAGGATATATATTCCTGTCATATACTATGGAAACATAATCACAATATTGCAAGTCGGGTAAAATCACCATATCTAGTCATAACATTAAAAATGCATTCACATGAGTGCAAACACATTAAAACCCGTGCAGAGCAGGTAAAATAACCATATTAGGTCATACATTGTGGAAAAACATTCACACCATCGCATAGGGTAGTAAGGGTACTTTCTGTTGGTTTTAAAATGAACTTTACATATACTGAAATATTTAATACTAATGTAATATGACGATGAAGTGCAGATTGGGATAAAATCACATAGATTACTTTTGGGTGGTTCTAAATAAACTTTAGATATACAGAAATATTTAATACCAATATGATATGATGATGAAATGATTTAACATAAATTAATTTAACTTTAAAAAGAACTACTTATTTCATGTTGTCTTACTCAATCATCTGAAATAAGTAGATTTTACAACTTATATAATTTACTGTAAGCGGTAAAATAAATAAACATTTCATGTATGCTTTATTAACAACTATAAAGTAATTAAGCACTTATTTCTGAAAAATAAGGTTTCCACTTACAAGCTATAGAAAGCAATCTCGTTAGGTTGACAAGTTTTCCAAACTTTCACGCTGCCACATGAAATAGTGGTATAATTACTCAAATTACAGCCAAAAAATAAACTAATGCCAATTCACCACTTAATTCCTCAACTTCTACATTTACTCTTGCATCTCCATTTCTCTAACTTTTCTTTTCTTTAATTATTTACCAACAAATCACCAAACATGATCGAATATCATTAATCCACTAATACTAACTGAATTCAAGTCACTGCCTAATTTAACCCATATACATATAACATAATCCAACAGCTAGACTCCAATATTTGTCATTTAGCTTCATTCAAACCTTTGAAATCTGAGAAACCAAAGGTTTGATAAAAACAGCACCAAAATTCCAGATATAGAAACTTAACATAAATTCTGAATATAGAAAGTTGACAGAAACTTTTGACAAAAATAGCACTTTTTTGGACGGAATTTCAATAACACCACTGTATTACCTTTGCTCAAAAATAGCTTAAAATTGCTTAAATAATGGAGGAAATTCAAGCTCAAATCCTTAAATCAAGTATTTGGTATTATATAAACACAAGGAAATAAAGAATAAGTCTCTCTTTCACAAACCCATTTTCAAAGTTTCACTTTCTTCAACATATCTTCTCCAATATTTATTTTCGCTTCCAAATCTTTAAAGTTAAACCACTAATTACAAACCTAAATGTAACAATATTCAACAACAAAGAATTACTCACCTCTTGAAAATAAGGAGAAATTGGAGGAATGTATCAGTTGAGCCCGCCCTTCTTTTTTCTCCTTTCTTACTTCCCCCTTTTTTTTATTATTCTTGTCCTTCCTTCTTTTTCTCGATCTTCTGATTTCAACCTTTCCCAAATGGAAAATGGATCCCTTTCCCTTGTAGTTAATGGAGAAATAAACTGTAATTGCAAATCAAGTCTCCAATATTCATATAAGATAACTTTTAGCCCTTGAATTATAGAAATAGAAACTAAATCCGGAGATTTTTATTTTATTTTATTTTATTTATAACCCTTAAGAACTTGTGATTGTAGAATAGAACCCATAAAAATTATTTGTTCAATTTAAATCACCATTTGATTTTGACTAAATATTTTTAAACTTTGACTACAAATAGTGGAGTGTAACACTATACTTCGCTCTCGTTTGCCCCAATAAATTATAATTCATTTTTTTCTCTCTTCTTATCAATTACACATTTTTCAATGAAATAATATTACACGTAAACTCAAAAAAAATTCTTCTTTTTTGACCACACATTCTCAAAAAAGTTATTATTCCTCCCATTATAACGTGGAATAATGGGGGGCCAAACGGGTTTGCTCGAATTGAGAAAAACAATTGCACAAAATTCATAAGTGAGCTAACATCACTAAATTAAGCGAAAAAACTCTAGCACTGGCCCGATAGAAGGTCTAGAGATGGTGAACGGTGAAATACTTCGAGAGAGAAAAGTTTGAATGGGAAAAGAAGTGTGGGTTCACTCACATTCAAGGTGGATCCACGGATTCGAAACCAAAATACTTGCGAGTTTAAAATTGTGGCCTAACTATGCTTTTGTTTAGCTGCCTAGAAGTTACATTTTTGTTGACAATTACACCAAAGGGTTATTTATAAAATAATTAAACATGAAAATTTTCAATTTCACCATAAAAATAAACAATGTTACTACTTGTAATCCTACTCAGTGTTAATACTTATTAGACTATTTTTTCTTGGATCAAGTCATCAAGATAGTTGATTTGTGTACTTCTTGAAATATATTCAATTGAGACGAGGTGATCATCTTTATAGATTTTGTGTTACAGAGCTAATGAGTCACTTTTTATTCACAATGATTTACAAATATTATTCATTTATTCACTACGCGTTTTTATTTATTTTGTAGTTTACACTATTTATATATATTTTTCAAACATGCTCAAATGCTGACTTGTCGTTTTTTCAATCAATTAAAAAAAATCAAATTTTATACAACTTTGAAAGAAATGAGTGGAATGATCACCTAAAAAAAAATCAAATATTTTTTTGAGAAATCTTACAAGAATTTTTAACTTATTTTACTAAATTATTGACTATTTATTTTACTAAATAGAATTTACAAAATTAACATGCACATCCACGTGATGCGTGAATAATTTCCAATATATACTTATTCTACACGATTAATTAAAAATATTTAAAAATTTACGCTAATTGTGTTATTACGAAACTTAACAGAAAATATCAAATATAACCTTGTTTAAAATTAGCATGCTTTAAAACGAGACACTAATATTTACATAATTTTTATTTGTATTAGAAATATGACGAGAAAATTAGTCTTTTTGCTAGGGGTATCCAAAAGTCTTGAACCGAATCGGACCGAACCGAACCGAACCCGAACCGAACCGAATTGAGCGG